TTCAAGACTCTGAGAAATTCCAGAAGAGAGAAATCTATTGGATTTTGTTTAATCAGCATTACTCAAACTTAGAAGCCATACAGCTCAGTGTTAAGATCAATTACCAGTTACATTTCCTTGGGTAAGTTACTCAAATTCCTTTAAGCATCAGTTTCTATTTGTATAACATGGACTCTACACCTGCCTCAGAAGAATTTTGGAAGGATGAATGAAAGGTGATAATAAATGTAAAGTGCATAGTACAACGGCTAGCACAGAAACAGAACAAGCACCATATACATCACTGTTACCAGTATTACTGATCCTTCATTCTTGACCATAAAAGTGTTTTTCCTGGCAAAGACTAACATCCCCTGGATTTGCGGGTATTACATAAAAGAAGTTTTAAAAAATATTATTTTATAAACCTTCAAATCTAAAGATCTGCATAGTAGATTACTCAGTAAGTGTCATAATTCTCTTCCTCTCCTAACAATAGGTGTTCCTACAAGCACTCTAAGAATCTGTGTGGAGTTTTAGCACAGAAGAGAACAAAGGGTAGAGGTGCCTCTTTTTTTTATTCCATAACCTTCCAGAGAAATTAAAAGGGCTCTTTTGGAAAATATTAGGAAGAATCAGTAGTCTACAGGATACCCTTTGGCCAGACATCCAAGACTCTCCATTATCTGGTCCCACATGGCTTATCTAACATTAATTTCCTCTAAACTACAACACAGATATTCCACTTCTGTCAAGATAATCTCTTTACTATTTAACAATTATGATGTCTTTCTCCTCAAATCCATATTGCTTCATCTGCCTAAAATAAGCTTTTTTCTTTTTTCTCCTCTAATCAGGCAATTCCTGCACAATCTTCAAGGTCCAGTTCAAGACTTCACCTATTTTACAAGACCAAATGTCACTCTAGCCTACATTTCTTTCACACTCCTCCAAACTTTTATACTACATTGTTTATATTGTAGTTTTGGTATATAAATACAGTTTTATATTTTTATTAGTTATTGTAAGTATTTAGGATCTCTCATAAACTAGCTTGACAGAGCAAGGGCTACGTTTTAGTATATTTTACAATTCACTAAGAAGGCATTTAATAAACTTATGATTGAATGAATAATGAACAAATTATGTGCTAATTTTGCCAATTTTTCATGATGAAAGTAGAATTCTTTGAGCTAAGTGAGATTTTTGGTATCTTAATTTAATTTTTACATACAAAATAATTATTTAAATGCCTATAACCACTTCCTTTTAATGTAGATTTTCTTAAAAATGCATTTGAGCCAAAGAGAAAAAAATGCTGAAAAACTGTAATAGACAAAGGAAGTTAACAAATGCCAACTATCTTACTGATTTGTTGTTTCTACCATGTTTTGGGGTTCATTTATTGACTCATTAGGTATAAACAACCATACTTAGAGGGGGACTTGAGGGACTTACAGCAACAGGAAATGTTTCAATAATCCTGTGAGGAAAAAAAAGTAAAAAGTACAAAATTCAAAACATAAAAGGTGGAAATGAAAATATGTACACCAAAAAATCTGGGCTAAGGCGTGCCCCAGGAATGAGTTCAGAGCTTCTAGGTAAACAAAGTCTAAATTATTTGAAGATCACTGAAGGTCTCTGCTATTTTCATTTCCTGAAAATAAGAAATATAATGTTCTATGTTGCAATTATATGTTTAATTTTGGCTTACTGGCTCTTGCTGCATATCTGTTTCTTAGTATACTGACTTGTGAAATGAGCACAATGGTGTTATGTACCTTATAATCTTCTGATATTAAGGCTATAGAACAGAGGATACATACTTTGATTATTCAATAAATATTATTATTATTGTCATTTTGAATATATAAAATATTGGAGTCCCTCTCTATTAGCAAATATATATTTGATTTAAATAAAACAAACAAACAAAAAAACACATTTGAGAATAAAGAAGTGAATAGTTCACATCTAATATCTAAATTGGATGTAAGGCTGTCATGCTAGATATCATCATGCTTCCATATGAAAGACTTGTGAGACCAGTATGTACTGCTTTCCTAAGAACTTATATTTGGTTGAGATTTCATTAAGTCAGTAAGGTTTCATTTGGGGAGAATATTCTGGTTCATGTAATTTATTCAGAAACCAACTGTATCTAGATCACATAATTCAGAAAATAATATTTTATAAAAGTCATAATAATATATGGTGTAAAATTCTAACTTTCAAAGCAAGTTTTATTCATTTAGAACTAACTCTGACTTCCTATTTTAAGTCCAAGTTACATATTAATTATACTTTTTGTAGTAAGCAAAATCTTAAATTATCAACCATAAAAAACAATAGATATGTAGTAACAAAAATTAAGAAAATATAATTTCAGATCCAACATTAATTCATTTCTATGCAGAAATTACATTTTCCAGTTCCAGAAATTTTTAAAACTCAAGTTTTATTCTTTGCACAATCTTAACTAGAAGAAAATGTTTAAAAATATTTTAAAGAAGTTATTTTAAAAATTAACTTCAGAATTGAAGTCCAAAGGGAATGTAAATGTTATGCCATTAGTTAAGGGAAAGACTACCATTTTAAAAGAAATCTTATTATTATTCTATGTACTAAAATATAAAAATATATATAAACATTATATGAAATATGTTTTTATCTATTCTAGTGTAAAATAATTTATTTTAGAAATAATTATTTTATACTGGATTACCAGCATAATTTCTTCAGAAATAAAAGCATGGTAATTTAAATTTATATACTTCACTTACTATTTAGACAATGATCCAACAAAAAGTATTACATTGTAAAACAGGATACCTAGAAAGTTAGAGAATCCGAAATTTAGAGTATAAATAACTCTGTTGATCTACAGTATGATAAATCTCTCTTCCAGATTTTTTGAGTAAATTTTTCAAATTTTACATTTATAAGAAACTGTTTAAGTATTAAATATATTACCCTACTAGATGTAGTGTACTTCTTAATAAATCTTTTAAAATGATACTCTATTTCACATTATTTATTACATGAAAATATTAAATAATCAATAATAATTTCAATGCCATGAATGTCTACAAAGCTTACAAATGAATGCAAATACACAAAAGTAAATCAATCACCATTATTTTTTACCACTTATCTTGAATTTAAATAATATTATCTGAACAAGGCAAATAAAAATAGAAATGAACCCAACATTTTAAAATTCTGGCTTTCATAAATCTTTACTGAGACTGGATATACAACAACCTATAAATCTCATATCGCCATAGAGAAAATTAAAGTTTCAACAATGACTCATAGACTATTATTTGATGGTACTAGCTATTTAGTATTATAAAAATAATAAAAATTCATTCATATCATTGTCCTGAATATATTGCCAGTGATACAGTACTCAAAGTATATTTTATGTTTTACTTTTTTAAAAAAATCAAGATATTCACTGCCTTCCCTAAATGTTTGAACTTACAGAAATTACAAAATAAAGGGGAGAAGTAATAGGCTGGATTAAAGCAGAAAGTCAATAAACCTTCAATGGCACTTCAGTGCCAATTCTGTAAATTCTTAGACCCAGGAAATTGTAACCTAGAGGTCTTTAAACTCATACTTTTAGAATTTGGATAAAATCATGGTACCACTTTCAAGGCATCAGTTTTTAAATTATCCTTTGTATTCACCTAGCACAGATAAAATAAACATTTCAAAACTATAAATGGCTGTGAAGAATAAAAATATCTACCTGTGTTTAGAAGTTTAAAATATTTACATTCTGCCATGTATAAACTAAAAGATACTTCCTTGAAAAGTTATAAAGGGTTACAAATTAAACTATTTTGACACTGACAAAGAGTATAAAATGAACGATTTTATATGGAATAACAACTACCCACTCATGCTTTAAACATGGAAGGACTTTTTAAAATGGTAATTAAAAGAAAATTGAGTCTTGGCCCATAATTTGAAAATATATTACCTAGTTATTAATTGCTATGTTTGTATTTAATTAGACAGCCTTATATTTATCAATATATTGGTAAAATTATAATAGATTCATAACACTGCCTAGTATAAAATATTTTTTTCAACTCAGAAACATGAAATTAATAAGATTTTGAGCTACATTTCAAATTTATTACAATGAACATAAATATTCTGTGAACTAATGAATAATACATTTCTTTTGAAGTCTATCAATATGATCACAAATTAAGCAGCTAATTATAAAAGGGCAAATGCAGAAACATTATAAACATAAAGTATCAAATAATTTTGAGGATTTAAACGAGGTTGAGGGGAAGAATTCACCTTATTTAACATTAAAGAATGTCATTTTTTTCCTACATCATGTCAGCCATTATTCAATCTTAAGAACTCACATTGTCTTTTATCAAGTAAAATTTTTGTTACAGAAAATCCCACACATTAAAAATAAACATTGGCCCTTTATGACATATATATAAATACTACACAAGTTATACAGAACATAATAGCTGATTTGTAACAAAGAACTGTTTACTAGGTACAAAAGTTTACTTATACATATTTGTTGATAAAAAATGTTGAACATGACAAGTTAACAAAATAGGAGTTTATATGCATAATAACTATACTAAAGGCTAAAAATATTATTAAGAATATGGTATTAGGAATTTGGAGAATATAGTTTCGATGTTTATACTTTATTTAAAAATTGATATTATTTTAAATAGATTAAATTTCTATAAATTAATCAAATTTGTGTCTATAATTTTTTAAAGGGAACCATAAAAGAAATGAGTCACATAATCACTCCTCAGTGTAACACTAATAAATGAGTAATTCAATTATCTGATCAATCTAAAGAAGAGACTCTGACAGTCTTTAAATAAATAAAAGACAACTCTGTTATGTTTTAAGTATTACTTAGAAAAAAACTTTATGTGCTAAAACTTTAAGGCTTCTTTTATAAGGAATTCATACTACACTGTGGATGTTAGTCTTTGATTTCCCAACTAAACACTCACTTGTTTGATGCGATCTGGGTTAACGGTGGTCTGGGGTTGTAGAATGCTGACTGGTTCTGTCTTGGCCACATTTTGGGGCATTTCTCGAATTTTTTCTGCAATGAATCCATGAACTGCATTCAGTGCTTCAACTGTTCCCTGGATCAAGCACACTCGTTCAGTAGTACCTGTGGATAAAAGATTAATTTTCAGAAAACTTCCCTTCTTACTTTGTATGTTCTTCAAAAATGCTGTAGGGAGGTTCCTTAAAAAACTACAAATAGAACTACCATATGACCCAGCAACCCCACTACTGTGCATATACCCTGAGAAAACCATAATTCAAAAAGAGTCATGTACCACAATGTTCAGTGCGGCACTATTTACAATAGCCAGGACATGGAAACAACCTAAACGTCCATCAACAGATGAATGGATAAAGAAGATGTGGCATATATATACACAATGGAATATTACTCAGCCATTAAAAGGAACAAAATTGAGTTACTGTAGTGAGGTGGATGGACCTAGAGTCTGTCATACAGAGTGAAGTAAGTCTGAAAGAGGAAAACAAATACCGTATGCTAACGCATATACATGGAATCTAAAAAACTGGTACTGATTAACCTAATGGCAGGGCGGGACTAAAGACGGAGACATAGAAAATGGACTTGAGGACACAAGTGGTGGGGGAAGGGGAAGCTGGGACAAAGTGAGAGAGTGGCATGGACATATATACACTACCAAATGTAAAACAGATAGCTAGTGGGAAGCAGCTGCATAGCACAGAGAGGTCAGCTCGGCGCTTGCGAAGACCTAGTGGGGTGGGATAGGGAGGGTGGGAGGGAGGCTTAAGAGGGAGGGGATATATGTATGTATATGGCTGATTCACTTTGTGAATGGCTGATTCTGTTCTGTACAACAGCAACTAACACAGCACTGTGAAGCAAGTATACTCCAATAAAGATGTGCACCTAATTAAAAAAAAAAGGATGATATACTAATGCCAATAAAATAATATAAAATGTAGAACTCTAAATCCCCAAAAGGGTCAGCAGAGCCAGAAATCCTGAGAAGTTCTGAGTATATCATTCATTCACTGATATAACCAATACTTACTGAGAACGTATAAAAGAACTTTGGGTTAGAAACTGGTAACACAGATGTGAAGATCTATGCACCCAACTTTCAAAGCACATACTCTTACGGGCAAAAAACAGACATCAAGCCAGAGAATTACAAGATATTATGATATGAAAAATAACGGAGGTGTCTACATGGGCAGCACATACGGTTGGTCTACAGTAAAAACATCATTTAAATCAGTGGGGAGAAGGAGTCTTGGAAAGTTTACATAGTAGGTAAACTTCTGAATTTTTACCACCCTTTATTCACTTACCCTGTTCTTCTTTTAATCACAGCAATAATGCTATCTGACATTTTGTATTTGTTTATTTTTTTACTTTTCTACTAGAATGCAAGCTCTAGGAGAACAGTTAATTAGTCTGTTTTGTTTTGTGCTATAGTCTCCCCAAAGCCTAGAGCAGTCCCTGGCACATGACAGGTCTATGACAAATATTTATTGGAAAATGAATCAACCCTGCTTTTACTGATTATGTAATTTAAAAAAGATATAATATCATAATTAAAAACATTTTAAACTATTTTTAATTTGAAATTGATGAATAATTGATAAAGATACTATTAATATTATTTGCTTCATATCTGGTGAATAAAATGTAGACACATGATGTGAGACAAGACTAAAATGAAATTGGTTGGGTCTGATACACAGGTCCTTTAACCCATTTCATACTTTACAGATATACCTGAAGGCAATAAAAACAAATGATTAGCTTTTCAGACTATTTTGAGCCTCCCTGCAGCATCCTGATATTAAACTGTAATATTCTGCTGAGCAGCCCAACACAACAAGCATATAAACTTCTCAGACGTAACTATTCTTTTACTAAACAGTTATCAAAAAGTCAAAAGAATGGTATTTTAAAATTTATAAAATATCTGTTTTTGAACTAATATGAAAACTTCCAAGTACTTAGCATGTATCCTCTTCATACCACAGTTTCAAAATTCTAAGCCACTCTATAAAATATTTTTAAAGTACATTTTGAAGGACAAAAGTGTGAATCTACACATTAAAAAAACTGCATGGAGTTTACACTGCTTTAAGGATTAACTGCCACATAAACCATTTTCCTAGCAGTTTTAAATGTTTAAAAGAATAGTAAAAGATTATCACTCTTACCTTTAGAAAATTAGATCACAAGAATTAGGAGCAGAAATAAAATAATATTTTATGAATAATATTATATGAATCCACCTAAATTAAACTTTCCTGTTTTAAACAATGAAGATGCAAATTTATGAAAAGCTACCATTTCCTAATTTGTACAAAATATTTCAATAGAGAGCAATATCTTTCAATTGTAAGGATGGAGACAATCTGAAAAACATACCGTGAGTGTGAAAGCTTAATATTTCCTGTTTCTCCTAATCAGCTTTTCTCATCCTTGAATATCTTTATGTATCTATTCCTGGGTAAAACGATCTAGTTTATTAGGGATACTCTAGGGAGTCTTTACAAGGTTGTATTAATTGTCCAATAACTGACTAGAAAGGATGAGAACTGATCAATGTAGCTCATGCAAAGTGTTCTCATGGAAGTCAGCAGACAATACAAAACACAGATCAGATTACATTCCTGCTTTTGGAGGCAACTACGGAGTGCTCTTTTGGGGGCGCCAAGACAGAAAAGGAAATCAGTCAAACCTCAACAGAGATTTGTAAAAAATAAAACATGGTACTAAGTAACTAAAGGGACTATATAATCCATATTGCTTTTAAAATTCAAATTTAACAGAATACATACTGTGTCAGACAACACAATAACCCCAATACTCTTCAGACTGTATGACTAACAAGTAGTAAATGGAAATCACTGAGCCATAAAGAAATATGATTGTCTAAAACTAAATTTCACATAGCATGTATGAGACAATTTGGAGATAGTTTACAGGTCCAAAGTTGCAATAAATATTCTTTCAAGATTAAACTATACCACTACCATTAGAACTACTACTACTACAAAAAAAAAAGGAAATTGTAATTCCACCAGTGGGAACTGCTGCAATCCTCAGAAGAGATGCTGTCATATTCTTCTACTGGCCTCTAAAGGACTTTTCACTTAGGTAACACAAAACTATAATTTTTAGGAGAAAGTCACAAAGAGGGAAGACTGTCAGGTATATGACCAAACTGTGTAACAAAAATTAGCCTATAAATCATAAAAGTTGCTGTTTTTTGTCATTTTACAGTGTCTAAACTGAACTGCGAGTTATTTATCATTTTGTTTAACAGCAGCATTTACTTCTCTTTGCAACAGACTAGCACCAAAAGCTGAAAAATTACATGAAAGTATATGCTTATATTTTTTATAATGTAAAGATACAGGTGTATAAGACACCATTAATTTTAAGGGAGAAATTAGAAAAAATTTAAAAATCCCTAACAAGTAGGGTCAAATATAGGCAGTGAAATTCAAAATAGCTATAAGTTCCTACTTCACATGCAATATCATCAACTGAATATGCATGTTTCTAAAATTAGGTACAATTATAAGATTCCAAAGTAAAATTCTGATATACATTTAATAAAATAAAACCACTCTGTGCTACTATAACCTTGGACAAGTCGCTTAAACTGTTCCTCCTCCTACCTAAGGCATTCTATCACCTGTGCAGTGGACCCCATCCCCTCTTAACTACCAAGACCAGTGTTTCTCCAGGTATCATAATTTTTCCTTTTCTATTAGATCATGCCCATCAGCAGAAAAACATGTTATAATTTCTTCAATTTTTAAAGATCCCTCCTTTATGACAGAAATAGAAAATTATCCTTCGGTAAAGCAAATGAAATAACTGATTTAGGCAAAGGTCATAAAATCATAAGATGAAAGGTTAATGGGCAAATTTCAGTGGAAACATCTGGCAGTCACCAACTGACTTCACTGATCAACATTAGCATAACTAAGAGTGTGAAAATCAAACATACGCCTCTTGTCGTGATGCAATATGAAGCAGAGGCCACCAACTATAAAGTATGTATCCCAAAATAGCTGCACCTAAATCTAATCAAACATTTAGCACTACGTAACAGCTTACAAACAATACTGAAAACGGAGAAATAAATTAGATGACCCATGAAGAAGAAAAGATACAAATCAAGAATGTAAGACAGGCTACAGGACAATTAATCTAGTTTCATCAATATAGGAAAGACTGTTCTCTAGACTTAAAGAGTCTTAAAAGATAGAACGATCAAATGTGAATCAGAATTTGGATCTAAATTCAAACAACTTCTATTTTAAACATAATTGTGGCAATCTCATAAAAACTGGGTATTAAATAGTATCAAAGAATTACTGTTAATTTTAATAGGTGTGATTATGGCATCAGGTTGTGTAAGAAAGTGCCTTTTCTCTCTTTTTTAGATGCATATTGAAGTATATACAGCTAAAGTGACTGGGATTTGCTTCAAAATATTTTTGCAACAACAAAAATGAGTAAATGAAATACATATGCCAAAATCTTCATATTATTAACAAACATGAAAGAGGTTCTTTCTTCTATGTATGTTTGAAATTTTTATAATAAAAGAAAAACACTTTAAAGCCCTCCCTGACCTCATACCCGTCTTCTGGTTACAGCTCAATTTCCTTATCCCTCAAAATTCCTTGAACAATTTATATAGATATATCTCTTCTTTCTACTTCTTCACTACCCATTCCTTTTTTTCTTGACTCTACTCCAATATGGCTTTTGTGCCACCACTCAACTAAAACCACTTATCACAGCCATCCATACCTTGGTAAATCCAATCTTCATGTCTTTACATTGTCTGACCCATCAGCAGCATTTGACATAGTTGACCAGTCTGTTCTAAAAACACTTCATTTGGATTTCAGGATACCATATGGCCCTCATTTAATTCAATTCATTCATTCATTTGACAAAAATCTATTGATTCCCCACTAAATGTTAAGTATTGTACTAGATACAGCAATGACCAAACAGGCAAACCTGCTTTCATGGAGTTCTTACTCTAGTTCATGCAGACAGATACTATACATAAAACAAATAAAAAATATATAGAGAGAGTATGAAATGAA